ATAGGAATAAATTGACCCCCTTTAGGAATAATAATTTTAAATCTATTTTCTATACCATTATTAAATACTATTATACTTTTATCATCAGGAGTAAGTATTACTTGATGTCATCATAGTTCAATACAAAAAAACAGAAATCAAAGTTTAATTAGTTTAATAATTACTATTACTCAAGGTTTACTATTCACATTTTTACAAGCTTTGGAATATTTAGAATCTTATTTTTTTATATCTGACTTAGTTTATGGTTCTATTTTTTTCGTAGGTGCAGGATTTCATGAAATTTATATTATTATTGGTACAGTATTTTTATCAGTATGTTTACTTAAAATTACTTTTTCATTTTACTAATTCTCGCCATTTTACTTTTGAAGCCGCATCATGATATTGACATTTTGTTGATGTTGTCTGATTATTTTTATATATACATATATATTGATGAAGTTCCTAACTTCTTCACATTGGTATAATTAAAGTTCGATTCTTTTACTGTAATAATTTTCATGATTCTTAATTATAACAATTTATTAATATTTGCACCTGTATTTTTATTATATTAAATTTATATTTAAATAAGTATAGTTTTTTTAATTTAATCCCATCGATAATTTTATTTATTATAATCACACAATTTGTTAAAACAAATACTTTTTTATGAATTAGTAAAATAATATTTATTATTATTTTCAATAATTTACATCTAAAATAAGAAAATTTAATTTTATTAGTAATAACAATAATATTATCTAATAATCTAATAACATTATATTTATCTGTAGAAATTCAAATTTTTTCATTATTCTCATTGGTTCTAATAGGAATAATATAAAAAGTTTAGAAGCAAGTTTGAAATTTTAAGCACTATTTCATCTGAATTTTTTCTTTTAGGTCTTGCTTATTTATTCAAAACTTCAATTTTATTAGATTTAAATTTATTAAATTTTATTTAAATTTATCTTCTTTTCATTCTTTTAGTAATTCTATATTATTTTTATCTCTTATTTGAATTAGGTTTAGCCCCATTCCATTATTAAATTGCTGATATTTATGAAAGATCAGATCTTGTGTTAATATTGTTAATATCTTCTTTATGTAAATTATCTATATTTATTATTTTGTTAAAATTCAATAACAATTTTAAAATGTTTTTAATTTTTGGAGCATTATTTTATAAATATAGGTAATGAATTGCTTTATATTTTTAAGATATGAGATTAAATAATAATTATAGGAACTGAATCGCTGAATTTAATCAAACTAAAATAAAAAGGTTAATAGCTTATAGTCGTATTTCTAATTTTTCTAACTATTATATCTTTAGGCTCAAATAATATAATAGGCGTTGAAATTTGTATCTTTTTATCTACTTATTTACAAATTTATCTATAATTATGATATTAATGTTATATAAAAATAATATAGAATTTATTATAGAATTAAGTAGTTATTTAATGGATAATAAAATTTTAACAATTGCCTTAGTTATTACAACTTTTTCTATAGTAGTAATTCCTCCTCTTTTAGGATTTTTAAATAAATTTGTTCTTATTTCAGCTTTAATAAATTATAACTATATTATAACAGGATGTTTATGTTTACTAATTACTTATTATCAATTAGAGATAGGTTTCTATTTAAGGATAATAAAAATATTTTTAATATAATAATTTGTATATTTCTTGAAATAATATTATTTTTTTAAACAAAAATAATTTATATTAAAATTTTATTTATTTAGGTTTTATATTGCATTATACATTATTTTATTTATTAAATCCCAAATTTTTTATTTCTTCTATAACTTATTTATTAAATTTATAATATGATTTTAATTTTAATATTTTCAGCTTTATTTAATATTATGCGAGTTTTTGGTAGATTTTTTGGTAATAAAGGTGTTATATTAATTTTTTTTATTATTATTATTATTATTACAACACTTATAAATTCTTGAATTATATTTTATGAAATTAGTTTTAATAACAATTTTTTATACTATACTTTATTAAATTGATTTAATTTAGGATCATTAAATAATTCATTTAATTTAAAATTCAATCTAATTACTATTAATGTTAGTTTTAGTAATTACTGTTTCGTTTTTTGTTCATCTATTTTCTTATTCTCATATGGAAAATGATCCTCATTTACCAAGATTTATCTCTTATTTACTTTTTTTATGATAGTATAAATATCAAGTTCAAACTTAATTGTTTATAGGATGAGAAGGAGTAGGACTAATTTACTAATTAATTTTTGGTATACCAAAATTCAAGCTAATAAATCAGCAATAAAAGCAATGGTTATAAATAAACTAGGAGACATTAGACTATTAATTGGAATAATATATTTATGTATTTTTACTAGATCTTTTGAATTTAATGACATATTCATAATCTCTATTACTAATGATTTTTCTATTCTTCATATTCAATTATTTTTAATGTTAATAGGCGTAATAGGAAAATCTGCTCAACTAGGCTTTCATATGTGATTCAGGTATTCATATGTGATTAATTAGGCTTTCATGTGTGATTACCTGACGCAATGGACTTACTCCGGTTTCAGCATTAATTCATGCAGCTAAAATAGTTACAGCTGGAGTAATTATTAGTCATCTATATTTTCATCTACTATATTAATTTTAATAAATATCATAGGAAGATTAACTTCTTTTTTTTCAGCAACTATAACGTTTATAATGTTTAACTATATGTTACTTTCAGCAACTATAGAAATGTTTCAAAATGATTTAAAAAAAGTAATAGCATATTCTACTTGTAGTCAATTAAGTTACATGATTATGATTTTGTGGATTTTCTTTTTTATGACTTAAGTCTATTTCATTTAATAAATCATGGATTTTTTAAAGCATATTTCTTAGTGCAGGGTCTATAATTCATGCCATAAACAATGGCACGAATTACTATTTCTTAGTGCAGGGTCTATAATTCATGCCATAAACAATGGCATGAATTATAGACGCTTTAAAAAACTTTTTACCTTTAATATTCATTTTTATAATTATAGGATCTATAGTATTATTAGAATTTTTACCATTATTAGGATGATTACCATTTTATCAGGATTTTATTGTAACGATTTAATTGTTGAAGTTTCAATTTCTTTATCTTTTTCTGCTTGAATTAGTATTAGTGTATTTATTATGGCCTTTTATTCTTTAAGATCAATTTATTATACTTTTATTAATAATCCACAACAAGTTAAAAATAATTTTAATAACATTTATGAAAGTGATTATAATATTATTGCTTCATTAGGCTTATTAACATTATTTTCTTTCTTTTCCGGATATATGTTTCAATTTATAACTACAAAGGATAATTTTCCTTTTTTGCTTAGTATATTAAGAATTAATATAGCTATATGTTAATATAGCTATAATAATATTTAGTAATTTATTAAGAATTAATATAGCTATAATAATATTTATTAATTTAAATAATACTCAAAACATTGTTTTTATAAATTATTATAAAAATATTTATTCATTTTACATTAATAATTGATACTTTGACATATTAATTAATTACATTTTTTCTAAAAAAATAAGTCCTTTAGGATACAAGATTACTTATGAATTTATTGATAATCAAACTTTAGAAAGCTTAGGACCATTTTGTTTTAATAAAACTACAGGTATAATTTCTAATAAATCAAGCAAAATTTATTTAAACTCTATTTATTCTTATATTTTAGTTACATGTATTCTTTTTATTTTCTGCATTTTAATAAATATAAACTAATTTTTAAAAATATAAAATTTAAAATTATAAAATTTTCTTAGGATTAGCAAGAATGCCTAGAAAATATGCAGACTTTCCAGATAGCTTATTTACTTAAAATTATCTCTACAATTTTAAGTAAATAAACTATTTACTTAAAAATATAGAGATATAATTTTAAGTAAATAGCTATTTACTTAAAATTATAGAGGTAATTTACTAGGTTAAATTATAGAGATAATTTTAAGTAAATAAGCTATTTACTTAAAATTATCTCTATAATTTAACCTAGTAAAATATCTCTATAATTTACGAGGTTAAATTATAGAGATAATTTAACCTAGTGAGCTAATATGCTATTAGCTCACTAGATTCAATTATCTCTATAATAGGTGTAGTATAATTTATCTATGTAATTTTTGATGCTTTTTATTTAGAAGAAAGATTTGTTTCTTGAAATAATTTAAATGTTGAAAAAACAAATACTTTAGAATGATCATTAAATTGTCCTCCTAATCATTATACTTTTAATGAATTACATTTTATAAACCATTCAACTCATTAAAAACAAGGGAATAAAAAAAACTCTTTGGTTTTCTTCTCCTCTAAATGAGGATCACCACCACCCCCCAGTCCAGGCGCAGCACTGGCGCACCCCCAGATTAAAAGACATAATTTTTTCCAATGCTTTTGTTAACTCGTCTCTGTCTGTTAACATCAAATCTTGCAATCAATATTTGAGTCACATCCTGATGATAGATTTTCTTCAAATTATGCATACATAATCTTGCTTGATGATAATAAAATATTCAATAATTAGTTTTGTAATAAGTTAATTAATTTAGTTAACTTTAATTAAGTTTATTTTTTATATGGGAAGAAGAATTTATAAAATAAGTATATTATTTGTACCTACTTATACGCATGTTTAGCTTATTTGGATAAAGCGTTGATTTGGTAAATGGAACGTCTGCGGTTTGAGACTCGCCTCTCCCTAAATTTTTTTGTTTTTTTACGCACGAATACAGCCAAATGTTAATTAAATAAAATAGTAATATCAGAAAAAATTTGCAAAATTTGTGTTTTAATAAAATACAAAAGCATTTTAAAAATTCGTTTTTACTTGTTAATTAAATTTAATTGTAAGAAATTTAATTTGGACCTAAACATTAATCCTTTTTACTATACAAGTTAAAATAAGTATTAAGCATGGGTTATTCTTACAAAAAAAAAGATAATTGAAATAGTACTTACTCCGTCAACACAGGCAGAACCATGATAACAGGGGTTGTCTAAGCATTCATTTTTTTCTTCTTCACAAAATTTTCCAATAAAACCTAACTTGCAAACACATCTAAATGAATTCCATTCCGAGATACATACTGCTCCATTCATGCATGGACTTGATATACAATTATCAATAACTAAAAAGTATAAATACTTTTTAAAGCTAAATAATAATTATGTATGTATGTATGTATGTATGTATGTATGTATGTATGTATGTATGTATGTATGTATGTATGTATGTATGTATGTATGTATGTATGTATGTATGTATGGATGTATGTATGTATGTATGTATGTATGTATGTATGTATGTATGTATGTACACACATCATATTAATCTTGCATTAATGTAATAGAAAACAGAAAATAAATAAAATTAAATTAAAATGTTAAAATTTTTAAATTATTTTCTGGAATTAATTACCTTTACACTCTAATTCATTAGTAGATCCAGTTATATGAGTAGATAATAATCCAGGGCATTGAATACAATTTGTTTGACCTACCCAAGGCTGATAAAAACCCATTGCACAAGGATAACATGGTTCAACTCCTGTCTTTGAATAAGTACCGGCAGGACAGATCACTAAATAACAAATATATATATGCAAGCAAGAAAAATAGAATGCGTTGTGAGTATCTAATTTGTACTAATGCAGCTGTATAACTTTACCTGATTTCACCTGTTTTTATTAAACTGAGTGTTTATATAGACTAGAGTCACTTGCTGTAACATGTTATGTTCTTTTTTTATTACTTTTACTGCTCAGTGTAAATTCAATACCGTTGTAATTCAGTTTCTTATGTTCAATTGTTTTAATTTACATTCATTTTTATTCCATCATTTTAGTTGTTTTTAAATTTTCTAAACTTGAAACCCTATAGTATTATAGACTTTTTAAACACTTCCTGCTAAACATATACAATCTATATCTATATCATAAATCTAGATCTAAGCATAAATTCTAGTTTACTGTATTAAAGTTATGGGTGCTAAGGTAGCCAGTTTCTTTTAATACAAATTTATGATAATAAATTGCTTTGTCTTTCACCAAATAAGGATTTTTATATAACTGTTTTAAAAAAAAAAAATACTTACTGCCACATTCTTCTAGGTGCTTTGCTCCTTCTGAAAGTGTTGTTGATGAACCAGGGCATTTAATACATTCATTTGAATATGGCTTAGGCTGATATGTTCCTTTACTACACAAGTGACAATGTTCTAGGCCAGTATTAGAGTATGAACCAGGAGCACATGGTTCTTAAAAAAAAAAAGCCAATTTCCGATTCTAATATATTTTGGAAATTAACAATCCACATGAAAAGGGTTTCTGAACATGCACATACAGTATTAAATAAAAAGCTTGTAAAAAATATAAAAGCTCAATAATGTCAAGCTTTTATTTCAACTTTTAGATTTAAACATGACTATCTGCTAGCTTTTTTATTTAACACTGTGTGTGTATGATTGAAAAACTTTTTGGTATGGAAATTCAAAAGAAAATCTGAATGGAAATTGGACTTCACACTCAAAAAAACTATTTAAATAAATGCAATTATGAAAACACTAACCTTTACAATGTGTAGAATTAAATGTTCCTACTGATTGAGTTGTCTTACCAAGTGGACATGATGTACAACCAAGACGACCAGGAGTCTCAGTGTATGTACCTTTTGGACAATCAAGGCATACACGATGCAATCTATCAAAATACTTACCAGCAACACAACTAACTAAAAATGAAATATAAAATCAATATAATAAAAACTAATAGCTAAAATATTTAGTGTTTATTGTATTCCAGGGTTGTGGAGTCGGAGTCAGAGTTGCGACAATTGTAGCGGAGTCGGAGTCGCTAAAAAATATTGCGGCTCCGACTCCGATAGTAATATTTCTTGGTATTGCACATGTATGAACAAAAAATACAATTAACCTTATGTTCATACTAAACCTCAAAGAACATTGCATAAATTTGTCAAAAAAAAAATTTCAACTTATCGTGCAATATTTTTTAAAGAATTCAAAGAGTTGGAGTTGGAGTCGGAGTTGGAGTCGGAGTTGTACTCAAAAAATTTCAACAACTGGAGTCGGAGTCGTTACTTTTTTTTTACAACTCCACACCCCTGGTTACATTAGTAGATTTTAATGGTACTGTATACATATTAATATACAGCAATATATTATCTTGAATACTACTAATGTAACCAGTGACAACCAATAATAATGGAACTGATTTTATAGTTAAATCTGCCTTTTAATATGAACCCTAAAAAATACACTAGTATACTTACCACAACTTTTTTGGAATTGGCCCAATTTCTGTTCTAGTCTATCATAAACACTTCCATCTAAACAAACTCCAGTCACTAAACCAACTGTCTCTATGTGATTCAGAACCAAGCTATCCCCATCTATATGCATGACTTTAATTTGATTAGCTATAAGTGTTCCATCATTCTTAAGGTTCTTTACTTTTTGTGAAAGAGATTCGACAGCATGTTCTTGCACTGTAGAATTTTCTTTTGAACGAATATTAATGTCAACTGTTATTTCTAGAGAATTCTGAAAAAATATTTTTATTGCATTTATGATATTTTTCAAGAGATCATTATTTTGTATTAAAGTTTTGTTGTTGTTATTGTTTTGTTTTAAATTTTTTTAATGTAAATTGTGTTTATTTGGAGTCATTTTTTATCTTATTTTAATGTTGTTTTTTTTGTTAAATGTTGAACTGGTTTTTATGTTAATTTAGAAACTGATGCTCAAAAAATATAAAAAATTATTTGGAGAATCTTCAAAATTTAGTTAAATTTTTAGCCTATTTTCTAACTTTTCTACAGGGTTTTTTATAAGTTGTGTATGTGCTTTAGATTTAAAAATTTTAAACAAATAATAAAGAAAGAACTTTTTTATAATTTAATTTAATAAAACATTTACACACAAAAAAAAACTACATATTTGAAGGCTCTTCTCTACGTGCCTCTGCACATTCTTGTTCAATCTGCTCACAAGGTTTACCAATTGTAGAAAGTTTGTTTTTGTATACAATTTATTTCAAGTAGCCGTAAGAAAAAAATCCGAAGGATAAATATTAGAAGAACAAACAGGCCATTTAATTGAACCTTGCAACCAATTCATCATTGAATATCAAGATCAAGTTAAACAATATTTTAAACAATGTACTTTCTTTTTGAAAGTACATTGTTTAACTTGAGGTCATGAAAACTCTTTAAGTATTTGTAAATAAAAATCACCTGTGATTTAAATGTTGAAAAGTATGGATCAGTTTGACAAGGTGAAGTTATTCTACACCATACCAATACTCCATTCTTTACATTGAGCACAGATATTTGCTTGTGATGATTAGGGTAGACAACCGTTCTTATATAAATCTTGTTTAACAAGTTGAAAGTCTCTTCAAATTTGATAATACTTCACAAAACTCCATTTTTTTGTAAAAACAATCTTCACTTAGGTCTACTACTAAACCTTACTCTGAATGGTAGAAATAGCTGATTGTATAATAGCTGTTTGTGCTCATTCCCATTTAGTTTCTTCAACAACTTTTCTTACATTTTAAACAGCTGTAATAAAAGAACAAGAGCTATTTCTATATGAGATATTTCTCAGTTATAAACAATGCTCTAAATTTTTTAACCAAATTTTGAATCATTTTCTCATGAAGTGGCGGAGTGGTAAAATGATTTTTACATTCTTCATTCTAAACTCTTGAAAATTCCCAACATTACCAAATAAAACAAACAATTTTGATATATATATATATATATATATATATATATATATATATATATATATATATATATATATATATATATATAAAGTCATGCTTTTTTTATATATTTTATATATATTTATATATATATATATATATATATATATATAAGATATAAATAATATATAGATAAATATATAAAAAATATAACATATTTTATATATAAGATAAATATATATAAAATATAATATATTTTATATATATTTTTATATATATATTATTATATATAAAGTCATGCTTTTTTTATATATTTTATATATATTTTTATATATATTAAATTGATTATTAAACTTATATGTATAGATTTCTGTGTACTATAATGCTTAGATTTCTAATAAATATACAGTAGCGTCCAAAAGTTTGCGGACAGGCAAAAAAATAAGGAATTTTATTTAAATTTCAGCACATATTTCACTAAAGCCAACATATTATATACCAATTAAAAGGTTTCCAAGTTAACAATTATGTTTTGAGCAAATAATGAATATTTAATTATCATTTTAAAATTGGTTAACAAAATGGCGATTTTTGATAAGTTCAAAAGTTTGCGGACAAACTAACGCTTTTAACATTTTCACCACAAAATAGCTAATTTGTTGATTTTATAAACAAACACTTTGTGGAAATAATTTCAAAGCTTTATATATAAGTGATTATAAGGGATCTAAGAAATATATAAGGGATCTAAGAAATGTATTTTATCTCCAGTAAAAAAATTTATCTTGAGATCAGTTCAGAATGGAAACTCGTTTCGTAAAACAGCACAGCTTTATGGAGTTGGTAAGTCTGCTGTTGGACAAATTATGAAGAGATTTGAGCTTACTAGATCTACAAAGAATAAAAATCAATCAGGAAGGCCATGCAAATCAACGCGTTATCAGGATAAAAAGCTTGTAATACTAAGCAAAGAAAATCCCCGTTTGACAGCTGTCGATTTAAACGTACAAATGAGACGTTTCTATGGAATGAATTGTAGTATTTCTACTATAAAACGTCGTTTACGTCGCGCTAATTTGTTTGGAAGACGCCCAGCTAAAAAAACCCATTAGTTTCCTTGAAAAACCGTAACGCCCGAATGGAATTTGCATTAAAACATCTAAAGAGGAGTAGTCAAAAATGGTCAAAAATTCTTTTTAGTGAAGAAAGCAAATTTATGCTGTTTGGATCCGATGGAATCAGGTATGTTCGACGTTCAGTAGGTACTAGGTACAATCCTAAATACCAACTGCCTACCATAAAACATGGAGAAGGTAATTTAAGGATGTTTGAGGAGGAGGAGGATGTTTTAGCCGAAATGGAGTTGGTCCTCTCCATAAAATTACCGAGAATATGAATCAAGAAAAGTACAAAGATATATGCAAGACTATTATGTTACCATATGCAAAGGATAAAATGCCTCGAGGATGGATTTACCAACAAGATAACGATCCCAAACATACAGCTAAATCGGCTTTAGAGTTTTTTAAAAAGAGTAAAGTTAATGTTTTGAATTGGCCATCCCAATCAAGACTTAAATCCCATTGAACATTTATGGGAACATGTTGACCGTCAAATGAAAGGAATTAAGCCTACAAATTATGCTGATTTATTTAATAAAATCAAAGAATTATGGGATTTAATTCCCATTGACGTTTGCATTAATTTAGTTGACTCTATGCTTCATAGATGCCAAGCTATTCTTGATTGTAAAGGATATCCTACAAAATACTAATGTGATTTTGCTTTTGCAAAAATTTTGATCAAATATTGTTGAAATATTTTAACTATTTTAAAAAATAATGCTTTGTCCACCAATTTTTGAACTTATTAAAGACCGTTGATTTGTATACCAATTTAAAAATATTATTTAGATAATAATTATTTGTTCAAAACCTAATTGTAAATTTGAAAACCTTTTAATTGGTATATAATATGTTGGCTTTAGTAAAGTATGTGCTGAAATATAATTAAAATTCCTTATTTTTTTGCCTGTCCGCAAACTTTTGGACGCTACTGTATTATGATAATTAGGAGCATTTTTAAAGCAAAAACACGGCTTATGAAACTCTCAGTATATACAAATGGTCTATTTTTTCAGATTTTTATAAAAATGATACAAATAATTTGAAGATAGTTATAAAGCCAACAGGCCATTATTTAATTTTATTTTTTATGTTTTGCTTAAATATTTTATCACATACCAGCACCAGTATTACTGTTTAGTTTTTAAATCATCAACTTCAAATTTGAAGTTATTCTAAAACTTACTTTAAAAAAAAATTCAGGAAAATTCTTTTTTCTGAATTTTAAAAAAAAAAAATGTAGAAAAGTAATTTAACAACTAATATTAATGAAATTTAATACTTAAAAACAAAGGCCTTGACTTTTTATTTAGAAAATTCAAATTTTTCTAGTTTAAACAGGAACAAAAAAAGTTTAATCCTTGATAAAAAAAAATCAACTGATACCACTTAAAGAAAGTTACCCAATTTTAATAGAACTAAGTGCCTAGAGTAAATCAATGAATTATTAAAATAAAATAAAAGATTTAAATATTTTTTTCGACTTGACTGTGCAAACTTCTCAACCTTTTGGCAGGATAAAGTTCAGTCAGCACACTGAAACAAGAACATCATTTACTGCTTTTGCCTAGGGCTGTCCTGGAGTGATTTTAAATTGTGACGCATCTGTTTTTTGCCAACTAAAGCCAAAAAAATTTTTTTTGCTAACTAAAATCTAAAAAAAAAAAAATGCCCTCATTAGCTGACATTTGCCGACTGCTAACTATAGATCCGATTTTGCGGATTCTAGTGCCCAATATGCCAACTAGTAAAATTAGTAGGGGGGCTAGATACCCCCATATGCCCTTCCACCCTCGGGACACCTCTGCTTTTTAGCTGGTATCAATTAATTTACACTATGCTGTTTATTTTCTGTTAATAATTAACCACATTAAAAATAAAAACCTATAAAATTAAAAAACTTTAGTAAAACTTTAAAATTTTTAATTAATAATTAACTTTTTAATTATTAAAAGGTTTTAATTATAGAAAAATTATTTCATACAAGGCAACTTCAGGAAATTCAAAAACTAGCCTATAACTCATATAATTTATAGTTTTATGACTCTTCTGCTAACTTCTTGCGTCTTCATATGGTTTCTTGTTCTTCAAATTTTTTCTTTGTTTTCTGTTATCTTATCCCAGTGGGGATAAGATAACAGAAAGCTTTTTTTTTGCAGCTTTTTTTTTCTGCTAAGTTTCAATATACATAGTGGTTGCTTACAGCCTTATATCAAAATGTCTACACATGCCTATCTAAATTTTAGGTCAGGTCAGGATCAGGATCATCACGATTACCCTGCTACTGGTATCATGTAACCCAGTACTACATGTACATACCCTGCTGCCTTGTAGAGTTTACTTTTTTAGGCAAAGGCTGGAAGAAACAAAATCTGACTTTAAAATCCTCTGTCCAGGGCTTTTGATTATGTAAAGGCTAGAGATGGTGTCTCAATAAAAATACTCAGCTTGGACAGATGTTAATTGCATTCAGCTACTGTCTTTTAGAAGGCTTTCTAGAAAAAGATACTGTTGAACAGCTTTGCAACCCTTCTTTATCGATTAGACTGGTGTAGATGTATTTATAATACATTATTTCCAGTTTAGGATGTCAAATGCTGGATCTTTTTAACCCAATGCAAGGGTTTTGTTTGTGTCTCTGTTTTTATGACTAGGCAACTTATTCTCTTAATTAGGGTACAGCTCTGAAACTCAGGTTCTGAGGCCAGCTGGTAGTCAGGTTTCCAAAATCTGTGTTAAGTCTGGAGTAGGCTGATTACATCAACAGCTGTAAAATATCATAGTAGTAACAGTGCCATGTTGCACATGGGTGGTGTCCCTGTTCATACCTTTGGTCTGCATTGTTGAGGACACATTTGGAGACCTTTGTTACAACAGGGTTTATTAATAGTAATGAGTGAATTGCTTGGGCTATTAAACAGTGTACTGAGTACTATCTATGTTTTGAGTCAAGTTCTGAGCACTGTCTATGCTTTGAGACAAGTTCTTTAACAAATTTAAAAATGGCCAAACTATCAAAAACTATAAAACACAAAAAACCATCATCATCATAAAGTTCTCTAAAGTATGATGAGTATTAAAGTCCCCACTATCTATTATTTACTAATATCCTGTGCCTTCGGAGTAACTTTTCTTCAGTACAACCATATCTGTTTCAAAGTTCACCAGACTTGCTCTTTATGAGACTAATTTGAGTTCAACTGTCTCATCTTGCGATCATAGTGTTGATGGTTATCTTCCTTTAATTAGTAAAGACTCCAATAGTTACATGCTTAGCCTGGGTATTTACATTTGTAAGAATTCACCAATCGGGAAACTAGGTCTGAATCCACAGACTAGTCTTTTATGTGCTTTTGTTTAGCACCACTTCACTCTATCATCTTTTTTTTGTTCTATATCGCTCTCCTTCATCTCAAGACTCTGCACTCTTTCCCATGTTATTTCTGATCAAATTGATCAAGCCCTTTCTATTTATCCTTCAGCCAATATGGTTGTTGTTGGGGACTTTAATACACATCACACTGAATGAATTGTTCTAATGTCAGTGACTCAGCAGGTGTTAAGACCCACAACTTTTGTCTTTCTCAATCTCTAACACATATAGCCAACATTCCAACTTACTTTCCAGATAATCATTTACTTTCTTTACTTGACTTATTTTTTGTTTCTGATCCTAGTCAGTGCTCAGTTTTTCCACATTCACCCTTAGGTGCTTTTGATCACAGTTTGATCTCACTAAAATTTATCTCATTCTTCTTCATCATCAGAATCCCCCTATAACCCAACTTCTTACAACTATCTTAAAGCTGACTGGGACTCTTTCTGTAATTTTCTTCGTGATGGCCCTTGGGCAGAAATCTTTTGTTTTCCTACTGACTAATGTACTTATGTAACATCTTGGATTCAGGCTGGCATGGAATCTTTCATTCCTTCTCAACAATATCAAGTCAAGCCTCACTCTTCTCCATGGTTTTCTTCTTATTTTGCTGCTGCAATTTCCAATCATAACCAATACTCTCATATCTATTGCCAAACAATTCTTTTAAAAACAGACTTTGGTTTACTATTGCTAGAAACCATTGTAAAAAAAAATGCATTGAGAGACATTTAAAATGTGCCATGCTAAAACATGCTATTTTTAGGTTATAAATTCTTGTATTTCATCTCAAGAATTAGGCTCCAAAGACTTCTAGAGAATCTTTACCAGTGTCTATAATAAGGGATAATCTGTTATTCCACCTCTCTTGCATGGATCAGATTTTGTTATCTCACCAAGTAAGGAAGCTGAATTGTTTGTTAAGAACTTTTCATCAATCTTATTTCTTGATTCCACTGATCACATCCTACTTGATATAGCCAACATACAGGTTGATATATGCTTGACAACCATATCACTCCAGCTTTTGTATCTAAAGTGATTTCCTGCTTAGATTTTTCTGCAGCTTGTGGTCTGGACAACATACCTGTTATAGTCTTGCAGAAGTGTTCTCTGGAGCTGTCTATACTTTCAAAAATATTTAACAACTGCTTATCAGTCTTGTTTTCCAGCCTTCTTGAAAGCAACATCTGTTATCCTATTTTCAAAAATTCTGGAGATTCAGCTAACTTCTGCTCTATTAGTCTTCTTCCTATCATAAGCAAGGTTTTTGAGTCTTTAATTAACAAACACTTAATCTCTCATCTTGAAGCTAATAACTTACTCTCTGATCATCAATATAGATTTCTCGTTCTGCTTCTGATTTGGTAATGGCAATAACTTATATGTTTTATTATGCATTAGATAGATGTGGAGAGCTCAAGACTATCGGTCTCGACATTTCTAAAACCTTTGATAAAGTTTGGCATGCTGGTTTTCTTTATAAGCTCTTTTGTTACAGTGTGGAGGTATCTTTAAGACTATTCAATCCTTCCTTACCAATCGTGGTATAAAGTTGTCCTCAATGGACAGCACTCTACTTCATTTTTTGTAACTTCAGGGTTCTTTCTTAACTTCAAGGTTTTTTCCTAGCTCCTATATTTTTTTAAATTTATATTAAAAATCTCTCCGAAATTGTCACATCTAAAATGGCATTATTCACTGGCAATACTACTATTTATTCTAGTCTTGATAAGAAGCCAACGATCTCTGATTGCTTGGAGAGGACATTTGAGCTTGAAAAGGAACTCATTTCTGCAACAGTATGGGGCTCACAGTGGCTGATGAACTTTAACTCAGATAAAATTCAAATAAAATTGCAACACCTAGATCTTCCTTTATAGATCTTTTTATTTATGAACGGTGTTGTACTAGATGAGTCATCTACCTTTCATCTTCTAGAATTAATTCTTATTTCCAATCTTTCTTGGAAACCATTTATCAAATCCATTGCAAAATTAGCATCTGCTAAGGCTGCATCTTTTTATCGTGGTTGCAACTTTCTTACTCCTGATTCTATTCTTTATCTCTATAAATCTCAAACCCGTCCTTGTATGGAATAGTGTTGCCATACCTGGAGCGGATCTTTAAATGATGCCTTTTTTTTTAGGCAAGGTGCAAAAACACATTGTAAACATAGTTGGACTTGCAATTGCAAGTAACCTTCAACCATTTTCACATCGCTCTAATGTCGCTCTCTTTCTCTTTTCTATAAATACTATAATAGGTGCTGCTTTAAAGAGCTAGCGTCTCTAGTGCCATCTACTAAAATTCATTCTTGTGTTACTTGTTGTTCAATCAAGTCTCATCCTTTCACTGTGACTATTCCTAAGTGTACCAAAAATTCTTATTTGCCTAGTTTATTTCTTAAACATCAGTTCTTTGGAATTTGCTCCCTTCTTTTTGTTTTCCTGATTCATATAATTTGCAATCTTTTAAGCCATCTGTTAATGTTTATATTTCTTTATAAACTTCATTATTTCTCTTCCAGTAACTTCCAACTCTATTAGTGGTTGCTTGCAGCCTCATTAAAAGTGAAGATGATAAATTTAAAAAAATATATACTTCTTTTTGTTATTTGCTAAAACTATTGATTGCTTTTTAGGCCATAATGCAACCATTTAAATCCTCAAATTATAAGTATCTTTATATTTGCGCATTTTATATTATTTGTATATTTTTGTTGTCCAATGCTTTGAAACTAGATAACTTTAATGGAAAAAAAAATTAAATGTCATGCTGTGACAATGTAGAACGACTGTATGGTTAGTTTTTTATTGTAACAGGACATTTGTTAATAAAGTGTCAACAATGCATGTTTTATTGAAGTATATTGTCATTAAAAAATAATCCAATTGAACTATGCTTTTGTTGTCATTGCAAGACATTGTTTTGTGTTCCAACCAATTAAAACTCAAACTAATCAAGGTCATTTTTAAATAAAAAATAATTTACTTGTAAACTTCTTTTTCTTCTTCCATTAATTGTTTCTACTTTACCACAAGTTATTTCAACATTTTCTGATTGACATACACGAGCATTTGCAGCATTTGCACAGCCTCCTTCATTACGCATAACCCTATCCAGAAGTTTTACAAAGTTGTCAGCAATTATTGATCGAGCTTCAAAACTATCATGGCAATTTCCACTGTAGTAAAAAAACTTCATTTTTTGACCCATACCTTCTTGAGGTTGCATGGCTAAACAGTATATATATATATATATATATATATATATATATATATATATATATATATATATATATATATATATATATATATATATATATATATATATATATGGTTTGAATTCAATAAATACGTCTGCGTATAAACTTTTTTTAAATATATATATATTTCTAACCATATTTTAACGTATAACAAGAAAATGACATTCAAAGATTATATATATATATATATATATATATATATATATATATATATATATATATATATATATATATATATATATATATATATATATATATATATATATATATAACCAAAAAGTTTATTTCATATTTTAAATTAAATAACAACAATATAAAATATTGCCAACTATTGACTATCTATTTATAAGTTATCTTTTTAAATTATATTATTAGTTATTTGCAGTAATCTTACCAGTGCAATCTGGCCACATTGAGTCACGAAATCCTGGGGGAATAGTACTCCAAGTTCCACTCATTGTACAAACATATGAAAATGCAAGTGGCCCATTAAATGTGTAAGGATTCTGACAGTTTACTGAACACATATGGCCCATTCCACCAACGTACTGGCATCCAACTGCACCATTAATAGGTGGTTCACGTTTTGGACAGGTCTTAGCTTAATTTAAAAAAAAAAATGTTCAATAAAAAAAAAAAAGAAAAAAAAAATTAGTTTGTAAATTAATCCCATACCATAACTGCTTACTAACTGTTTATTATTCTTTAACTGTTGTTTATGAATGTTTTTCTTAGCTTTTTTGTTTGCATTTTTTTGTTTGGTGCTTTATTAAAAGAAAAAAAATTTAATTTGGCTTTTCTTTTTTTTTAGTTCTACCCTTGCTATTAATTTATTCTTGTTGATATGTAATACTATTTCAAAACAAACCTGCTTAAAATAGTCATTTGCTATTAATTTATTCTAGTTAATTTGTAATACAATTTCAAAACAAACATATTTAAAACAGTAACCTTGCTATTAATTTATTCTGTTTGGTCTGTAAAACTACTTTAAAACAAACCGATTTAAAATAGTAACCTTGCTATTAATTTATTCTAGTTGGTCTGTAATACTATTTCAAAACCTATTTAAAATAATGATTTTAGTGCAGTGAATACTTGTATTGTACTTATTGTTCATTATAAATGGAACCTCTTTAGTTTTTATTAAGTTCTTATGTTATTATTCTTGATACCCCAATCAATAATGATCTGCTTTACGGGTTACATACTGCTAGTACAAATAAAACTTCTATAAAAACAACAGATAAAACCAATTAAAAATTTAATTGGTTTAATCTGCCCATTTTAAACCAATTAAAAACACAGAAACAAATAAAAACATAAATTTTAGAGTAAAGAAATAAAAACATACATTCAACTTTTATGAAAAACTCGCAAGTAGCTCGATTATTTGATGAATCTTCTATATCATACTGTATAAGTTGAGTTGGCCCCACAGGAAATTTGTGTGGAGATTCGTGTGATGAGTAGGTTAGATTTACATAACCAGAATTATCTATAAATTTTGGTAAGCTCCATGCAACATTTTTATGTTTATCAATAGCTGAAGTTGTGGTTTCAAGAATATCTTCTGGGCAATATGTAAAAATTGGTGGTTCTCTATCTATAAGTATTTTAAGTAAAAAAAATTAAAGTCAAGTTATTGAAGACAACTTTTAACAATTAAACTATTTAGATTAAATATTAAAACAACTTAAGACTCACCAACAATTTCAACACGAAAAGTGCAAGAATCTGAATTTCCTGCAGTATCCACAGCTGTAAACAATATAAGAGTTATGCCAATAGGAAATTCATATGGAGAAACAATATTTGATGGTGATTGAGTAACTGTTATATCATCACTCCCTGATATTGAGTTATCAATTACAGATGGAGGTAAAAAACTTATTTCTTTGTATGCTCGACCAGGCTCAGATTCAGCAAGAACAGGTTCTGGACATCTGATGGAGGGAGGAGTTTTATCTAATAAAATTTTAAAATATTTATAGTTAGCATATTAATTTCAGTTAACTGTACTTCAAACTTGAAGCAACTTATTTATAATTCTCTGTTCATAAGTTAGCTTTTGCACTCTAAAACAGTAGTAAAAAAAAGGAAATAAATTTAAATAAACATAAAACCTAAACAAACAAGTTCTTTTCCACTCCATGTACCATCTTGTAAGCAAACTCGATTTTGTTCACCAGAAATATATTGAAACCCAGGCTTACACGAGAAAGAACATGCATCATTAAAATCTGTTGGTTCATTTAAACATTTTATAGGATTAACATTGACATTGTCAATCTTGCGCAATTGAGGACATGTTACAACTAAAGAAAGAAAATTAAAAAACAAGAATAAAAATATGTTAATAAAAAATATTAAACAAAAGAATTAATATAAATGCAAAAATTTACTTCTACAATATGGCATATCATGAGTCCAAAGTCCATTACTTCTGCATTCTCGCATATTTGCACCTTCCAATATGTAACCTGGTTTGCATTTAAATCCACATTGACTTCCAACAGTAAACCCACTACATTTAACTTCCATGTTTGGAGGATCATGGGGGTTAGCACACTCGATGACTACAAAATAATAAACTTCAATATAAATCAGTTTCAAATAAATTTCACAAGTGTATGTATCAGGATAAAGAATATATCAATATAATAAAAGATCTATATAAGTTTTTTGTTTTGAAAGTTTTTCTTCATTTTGTCGCAGAAAAAAAAATCATTTTTATTATTTACTTTGCTAACATTTTTAGTTAAGCAGTTCTATTTACGCAAAAGTGTGATCTCTTGATGTGTTTTGATTGTTTAAATGTAATAAATGTAAATATAGACTAAAAAGATATTAAATTTTTTCTTAAATGTTAAATGAAACTAAAATATAATAACTTTTAAAATTTCTAAGAAATTTATATTAACAATAAAATATTTTATTATGGTTTAATCAAAAATAATCAAATTAAACAAAGTTTAAAGAAAATAAAATATCTAAAACATATTTTTATTTTCATTTGTTTTTGCTCCAGCAATCACTTTTCAGTTATTATACAAGGTTTGGTTATTTTAAAAATTTAAAGAATGTGTTGACAATTCTAGAGGGTAAAATGATACGCATCATATTAAGTCTGTAATGTTTCCTTCTTTTTTAAAAGCATTCAATTTGGTCATTTAAACATAAAAAATTAAACAGAAAGCATTAAACAAAACCTAATCACCAAAATTGTCATTAGAATAATTTGTTACATCTTATATAAAAATAAAAGATGTAATAGTAACACTTAAAAAATTCATTAACAAATTTTTTATGTATATTATTATTAACTATTTTTATTAATAAAACTGAACAGTTTTTCTTAACCGTCATGTGAGCTGAAAAAGATTTGTGAGCAGTCATGTCATGTGAGCTGTTATGTGAGCTGAAAAAACTCACATAAGGGTTTAAAAAAAACTTTTTTAAACCCTAATGTGAGCTAAAAAAGAAGTCTTTAGAAAAAAAAATATAACTAAAAATTAAATTTTATTATTTTTTCATATCATAAAAAAATAAAATATAAATTTATAACTTATTAAAATATTAATTATAAAAATAACCAAAAATAATTTTAAATAAACTTGTGTACAGTAATATATTCTAAATAATAAAACTAAAAACAAAATAATCTGCACACCGACACATAATGGAACGGGTTTGTCCCATTGACCATCTAAAGTGCATGTCAGTTTTCTTGATGTAACTACAGCAACTTCATTTGCAACATGATAATTAGGGTTGCAAGAAAATGTACAAGTTTCAGAAAACAATGTTCCACAAGATGATACCTGACCGTTCACTATATTTGAAGGTAGTTTTGGACATTGTTTTGCTAAATAATAATGTTTGATTGCAATCAATAAAAGGTCAAACTGACTTAAAATAAACTTGAACAAAACTGATAAAAATAAATTTAAATAAAACAATAAAACTTAAGTAAAAATGAATAAAAAATTGAATTAAGCAACTTTTTTTGTTTAACAAAAATTTACAAAATAAACAACAATCAACTTACGAACACACGGTAAACCAACTTCTGGGTGCCCAGTATAACCTGGAAAACACACACAATTTGCTGGAGATGTAGATCCAGTTTTATGTGATGTTGAAAATTTTGGACAAGGGATACAAGGATCAGGTGAAGGATATTTTTTATATGTTCCAAGTGGACACTCTAAAGCAATTTAGTTAACAATTTAAAGCTAAAGCAAGTTGCAATACAAATTCCGGATATAAAAATGCTTTGTTTTTTAGTACATGAAATATATATTAAGATCTTAATAATGCAACATTTATAAATTATAAAAACTTTCATTTTTAAACTAGATAAAAAATGTCGGAAAATAATATATTATTAACTATAATAAAGTAACAACAATTAAAAATAAATTATTCGAAAATCTTTTAGAACAATTTACTTTTTAAGCTTGTGTTTCTGGAATTAAACAAGTACACATGCAACTACACTAGTAAAAACAACAGAAAAATTAAAATAAACAAAATTGATTTAGCCATATATTATCTATATTAAAAGGAAGATATATTTACCATAACATCTACCAGGACTTCCTGATCCATAAAAACCATGTAGGCAAGCACAAGTGTATATGCCACTTATTGTTCCACATGAACAACGAGCATTTACATCACAAGTTATGCCACAGCGAGATATGTCTACAACTTGATACAAACTTTCAACTTGATCTATTATAATAAGAAAAAAAAATGTAAAACGTTTTTTCATTCATCAAAGGCATAGGTCTATCTTGACCTGAAATCACTTTAACATTGTATATTGTTTCTGATTGTCTCAATGCCACAAAAAATAGAGGCTTTTCTAAAAGTTTGATGAGCCCATACAAAGTATTAAACACAACTTATTTTGTGACTTCCTAATTTTTTTATGTTCGCGCGTGTTATTTTTTGAATTAAAACAATTTTAAGAAATAAATGTGTACACTCTCAGTATATTAACTAACCTTTATACAGTCAATTTACCAGACTGTTCCTGATGATATATAATGAGGAACTTGCCCAATTATAGAGGACTTTTTTCCTTTTTTTAATTTTTTTTTAAAAAACTTAAAATCTAGGCATGGCACTAGATTATTTTCAAAACTAAAAAACATTCATAAATAATGTTAAGTCTAAATAAAAATGGACTTTATTTTATTACATACATATTTTAGCAGCTCAACACTGATTGAGTAATAACTCTTTTTTGTGTTAGAAGGTCAACACTGATTGTTGAATTTGGATCTATCATCCACAATTTGTGAAAGGTTGGTGCTAATTGTATGCTAAAGAAAATAATTTCTCAAATTGAGATCAGGTCAAAGAGAGATCACCTATTGAGAGACTTGTAACAATCAAGCAAATCAGGGACACACATCACAAAATATGTTTGAAGAACTTTTGAAATTTCACACAAAATTGATATTAAAGATTGTTGAGGGCAGTCATATGAAAATACCTGGGCAAATTTTTAATCTACCTAAAAAAATAAGTTCAACGCACTAGTTTTCCAAATTAAGTGCCAATAAGGCTCTTGCAAATGGCTATTCATAAATTGAAGATGTACTCCACAGACCTGTTAATGACAAAAATAAGCTAATTGAAGTACACTGCAAAGCAGGGTCTTTATGTGTGTATGCTGTTTCTCGAAACTGGAATATATGCAATATTTTGGCATGACATCTTAGAAAAAGCAGATAAAACTAATAAGGTACTTTAAAATCCAAAACAACACTTAAATAACATAATATCTAGCACCACCAGTAATCACTGAAGGAGTTTTTCATGTTAAATCTTAAATTTTGTAAAGAAAAAGAGTGAAAAGGAGCAGAGACAGCTGGGAAAAAAAAACATTTGATAGCTTGTTCAAGAACTCAAAATGTGTGGCTAACTCTTTTAGACTGTGTACATGCACTGTTGATTCTAACATCACCTTCCTAGAAATTTTTTGTTGAGAGCTTTGTTCCAGTGATTGATTATAAAGTGTCTGCTCTTAACCAGAGAATGCATGCCTATATCATAATTATCTTTTTTTTGAATTTTCTATGTTGGTGTAACTCGATTCTGTGAATAGCAAGTCAGCAGAAAACAAGATTGCTGCAACTTAAACAAACGATTTATCTTTCTTTGAAAATGAGTTTGTGCAACTTAAGAAGTAAAGGTTTTTCTTGTTTGAGGAAAAAATGCACATGTACATGGAAAATTTCATGCATTCACTTATACACCAGAAAGATGTGCAGGTAGAATTCCCTAATGTTGAGCTTGTGCTCCATATTTACTTTGTACTGATGATAACTAACTGCTTAGTAGGAAAATCATTTTCTAAAATGAAATTGATCAAAAATAGGCTCTTTTACATGGCTCCTTGAGTATTACAAGAATGTATGTATGTATGTATGTGTGTATGTATGTATGTATGTATGTATGTATGTATGTATGTATGTATGTATGTATGTATGTATGTATGTATGTATGTATGTATGTATGTATGTATGTATGTATGTATGTATGTATGTATTGAGAGAGAGATATATATGGTGAACTAGAGTTAAAATTTGGGTTAAATTGGAACATAATTAGACGTAACAATCATTTTTGTTTCAGGTTTGCAACAAAATGAAAAACCATCTGATTGAAAAAGTAATCTTTGAAAACATGTAGAAATATAACAATTTCCCTAGTGTTGAAAAAATTAAACAGCAAATTATAATTGATGTAAAGTACAAGATGAAAGATATCAAAATAATAATGATATGAAACATTTTTACAAACTTAATCAAATTCAATTGGAAATCAATACATTAAGGCTTAAATTAAGCCTTAATTTAAGGAATAATTTCTGAAATATTTAATAATACTTATCTAAATCTAGCTCAAACCATTCTTAAAAATATAGAAAGCTTTAAAGTATATATAGACACTTAGCATGTTGATGGTAGTATATAAATTAAAATACTTCTATGGCCTCTGTGTTTAATGAAACAAATGATACTTTTAAGAGTATTTACAATAACAATAACGAAATGCATAAATATAAATTGGCATGTTTAAAGTTTAGCATTTAAAAACTTATACCTTACACAACGTAAACTTTTAAGAATTAATAGTTTAAAATGTCAATTAAATTATCTTGAAATACTTTTTCTTTTTAAATTTAAAATAAAAATGGAATAAGAATGTATTTATCAAGCTTATTACAAAAACGTTTTTATTGATAGAATTTAAGGTTTGCAACTTATTGAATTCTTTTTTTTTTTTTTTTTTGGAATCCATTTTTGAGTCACTTTCTGATTATATATTTTCTTCAAATTTTGCAATACAATACAATATTCAATAATTAGTTTCGTCAATTAATTTAGTTAACTTTAATTAAGTTTATTTTTTATATGGAAAGAAGAATGACAATTTTTAAGATATTGTTTTTCGTACATAATGTACGTCACGCAGTTTTGGACATTTTTTGACCCCCTCCCCCTCTCCTCATAACGCATTCGTAACACTTTATTGATCCCCCTCCCAATATTACGCAATATTTTTTTTTAGTTAGTGCACAAAGATTGTTTTTTTGATGCTGCACACTTTTGTGCACCAACTAAATAAAGTTCTGCATTTGAGCCATATAAATTCAAAGCAGAACGTGCTCTGCACAAACAGCCGTAATAGTCCGTTAACGGGCTGTAACTACTCCGTTAACGGAGTGTACATCGATTAAGTAAGATTTAGGCATAGCTGATTTTACAATTAACATGTAGATACATCAACTGAAGGTTTTGGTTTGGTCAGATACTATTTTAATTAAAAGAAAGTCTTCTTAAAAAAAAAATGTTGCGTCACAAAATTGAGACCCCTCCCCCTCGTTACAAATCGTAACAAAATCGCCTACTCCTCCCCCCTCCCCCTCCTTAAGCGTGACGTAACTTATGGACAACCCCTAAGCATACGGAACGCACTCTTGTCAAACCCCTATTCCGACGTTGAGCGTCCTTTGCGTCCGCGAATTCGTGTTTCTAGGAAAAGGGCAAAACGGGGTATATAGGGATTTGCGCAGCGGTGCACACATACACCAACTAATTTTTAGAGAGAACATGCAGCGGAGTGTGTAAACAACGACTGAGGGTTTGGGGTGGGTAGGTTCTCTTTTAAATTAAGAAGTCGTTTTTTTTACATTTTCGGACCTTAAGGACAGCGTCGGAATAAGGGTTTGACAAGAGAGCCTACCTAAGCATACAGCCGAATGTTAATAAAATAAAATAGTTATATCAGAAAAAATTGACAGCAAAGTTTGTGTTTTAATAACATATATAAAAGTATTGGATTTTAAAAAATTCGTTTTTAATTTTACTTATTTAAACATTTGAATAAAGGTCGCCATAAATTACGTAACGCAAACTTTCACAATAAACTAAAACAAATTTTTCCCTCGCAGAGTTTTAATTTAAATAAAAAAATTAAATTAGCCCATTAAGTTTAATGAAAATCGCTGCGTAAAAGAGCTCAATATCTCCTACTTCTGTTTTCTAAATGTATTTTGCGTTGCGTAATTTATGAACGATCTCTAAGGGGTCGTCCATAAATTACGTCACGTTCTATGGGAGGGGGGATTAGTGTGACGACTGATACAAAACTTGGAATTAAAGTGTTACGATTTTGTGACGAGGGGGAGGTCAAAAACGGCGTGACATAATTTATGGACGACCCTTAAGACGTAGGGGATCGTTCATAAATTACGCAAAGCTAAATTTCACTACAATAAACAAAACAAAAAAGATCAAACGTTTTTCCTCGCAGGCGTAGGGCCTTAGGGATCGTCCATAAATTACGCAACGCAAAATATATTTATAAAACAGAAGTAGGAGATATAAAGCTCTTTTACGCTGCGATTTTCATTAAACTTACTGCGCTAATTTAATTTTTTATTTAAATACTCTGCGAGGCAAAGCTTTTGATCTTTTTGAATAGTTGAATACTTTTGCGGTCCTAGGTGGTTCAGTAGTTTGAGACTTGAAATAGATTGTTCAATATATATGTTATCAATATAAGTTTGGTTCATATTCCGCAGATCTCCGCATGGTCTTTAATAATGATTTTTACAAGTTAAATGATGTAAGGAAATTTTATGACTAGCCAATTTTATGAAACGAAGACATTTTTATTTAACGAAGACATATTTATTTTATTCTAAATGGTTATGTAATAGTTCGGTCTAAGTGAGACTAGATTAGTGTTACAAACTTGTTTTAATATTAATACATCTTAAAATACCTATTTATAAGATTTTGTGAATGTAGTTCATATTTCTATATAGTTAAAACATGAAAAATATTGATATTTGTTTATATATAATTCAAGAAAACTTGAAATTAGCTAATCCTAAAATTTGGATGCAGTTGTAAATGACATGAACTTAACTGCAATTGATAACTTGTCTAATTACATAAAGCATCTTTGTAAAAGCTCTATAATTCGTTTCAAAGAAAATAACAATCAATGGCCACAAAATAAATTAATATTGGTTTGTAATTGATAATAAGAATATTCTTTTAACAGCTTGTATTGATTGAGATAACTCTGCTCTTTTCTAATTGTAGAATCTAGCAGACCCCCTGATAAATTTTGATACTTCAACTAATAAAACTAAGAAAAGAAGATTGGCGCCATTAGTTGCTTTTTTTTTTTAATATTTTTTTTAGAACTATCGTTTGCGTCAGGTTGTAGTTTGCGCAAATATGGTAAAAAAAAAGATGTTAATGCTGATTTGCAATTATCAGAATGGTAAAATTTTTTTTAGACAAAACTTATATTATTATATACATATAAAGGTTTAAGCTTTATGTTTTTTTTATATGGATTATGTAGAAGCTTTATGAAATATAAAATAGAGCCCTAGCAATACATAAAAACACCTAAAATTGGTAATTGGGTATATTCATAAAAAAAATTTCAATGAAATTGTCAAGTTAATATTTGTCTAGTTTATAACTTTTGTGTTTTAAGAAACCTAAGCAAGTAACTATGCAAAATCAACTGTTGCCAGGCATTTCAGTTGTCACTATCAACCAAAAAAATCCATAATACCACTAGATTTCTTGTATAAAATACTCAATGTGGTAATTATGGGAATAATCCGATAAAGATATTACTTTGTCCTGTTTATATTTACAACGGTTAATAAAACATGTGGTTGCTAAACAATTTAGGTATCCATAGTAACCTAAAATTAAAACTTATGTCACCATTGAAACTGCAATCCTCAAAATAGGAGTCGCCCAATTTCATTGCTAGCTATTTTCTGCAAGCATATACAACTTAGACGAACCACAAAACCAAAAACAAAATTAATTATTTGTATTAGATTAAACTTTTTTTCAACCACTTTTTTTATTCAACCACTTTTTTTATTTCGAACATTAGACGTGTTCAAAATTAATATATATATAACGTTTCTAACTATATTTAATCATTATTTTAGTGAAATATACCATAAATACCCCACCAGATTCTCCAAATTCAATTCTGTAACTCATAAATATAATCTAAAGTTATGTTCTTGTTTTATTCAGTATCGGGGACCTTTTTTTATGGAAAAGTTTTAAACAGATTGTTCCTAATACAGAACAAACATTACCGCAATTCAAAGCTTATTTAAAATATGATTTAGTAAGTACGGATTTTAATATTCTAAATATTGCCAGTCTTTTTTAGAAGTTATCAAACTAAATTTATAACGATACATTAACTTTATCAACTTTAACATGTTAAGTACTAAAAAACTAAAAATAAGAAGAAAATCAACTATTGTATTATTAAGAATATCAGTGTCTAATTGATTAAATAATTACAAATAGATACTATATATTTACTTTAAATATGCAGTATCTATTTGTAATTATTAATTATAATGTATTTAAATAAAAAACAAAATAAATGTATTTATTATACATTTATTTTGTTTTTGAAACTTTTATATAATTTATATTGTTGTAAATGAAATTTTATTAATTTTATTATGAAAACGACAATACGAGGCAATATGTATGTATGTATATGTATGTGTGTATGTGTTAGTATATATGTTTGTGTATGTATATACACGTATATATTTATACATTTTATTTCTTTCTTAATTAACTATACTTTTAGTAGTAGTAGTTTCATTTATTTCGCCGTTAAGAATATATACAATGTACAAATATAATAAAAGGATATATATATATACATATATATATATATATATAAATATATATATATATATATATATATATATATATATATATATATATATATATATATATATATATATTATTATTATTATTATTATTATTATTATTATTATTATTATTATTATTATTATTATTATTATTGTTATTATTATTATTTTACGGACTTGTTAAATCCGTTTATTATTAACGGGGAAATAAATGAAACTACTACTATTATTAGAGTAAACGTTTACTTTGAATTCGTCTTTTGGATCTTTTATAGTTTAGTTGTCTCCTTCATATGTAAATTGTTTATTATTTCTTCTGATAGGAGTTAGTTTCTGATAGGAGTACCGAGCTAGTACCCGGCAGTTCATCTTGTGTACAATTAAAAAAAGTTTGTTTGCGTTTTCGTCTTTAATTTAGCATTTTCGTCATTAATTTAGCGTTTCGTCTTCTGTAATTTAAACTCATTTCAATATTTAAACATGGAATGGATAGAAATGCAAAAACTTTGGTGAAAAAATTTCCCAAAAATTAATGTGTTTGTTTTTTCGTTCCAAATTTCATTTTGAATCAAAATTATTTTTTTAATCAAAATAAATCATTTTAAATCAAAAAAATCAAATGCTAAAACATTTGATTTATTCCTAATTTTTTTGATTTATTTATATATATATATATATATATATATATATATATATATATATATATATATATATATATATATATATATATATATATATATATATATATATATATATATATATATATATATATATATATATATATATATATATATATATATATAACCAACGGAATAGAGAAATTAGAATTACCCGGTCAGAGCAGGGAAATTCTAATTTCTCTATTCCGTTGGTTTTCCCGGTTACACGGAAATAGGTACCCAGCTCAGATTATTTCGGTAGTTTCACCAGTTACTCAGAACATATAAATTCGACCCAAAAAAAACAGAAAGCCGGGACCGAGTCGGGTTTCTGGTACATTTTTAACACGTTTTATAAAAAATATGTAAAGCATTACAATTAATAAAATAATGCTAAAAGTTTATAAAAAATAAAAAGATTGTGTGTCCTTATTGAAATAACATGGCCAAATATTGTATGCTAATATACAATAGGTAAATTTCTTTACAGAAATTTAGAAAAAAAAAAAATTGTTTTTAATTTATTAATTCATTTTAACTTCTTGTGTTACCCCATTTTTTTGTTTAAAAGAAAGAAGCTAATAACCTATCCATAAAAGATTTTCTTATGCATTTTTATCAACAAATAATGTGTTTACAAACATTTATACAATAAATTTCTTGAAATCTTTTTTATTTTATTTTATTTAAATGCTACTTAAATTTCTATTGTTTTTTTTTCCAACTAATTGTCTGGTTAGCTTAAAAAATGTTGGTTTAAGTAAATTCAACATTTTAAATGCTATGCATTACTGTACAAACTTTTTTTAAAATAAGTTACGTTTTGTTTAGGTCTGTTGGCTTTTTTATTTTTCATGTACACACTTATTAATTGTATTGCCGTATTCTACTTTTATTGTATTTTTTTTATGTGCAAATGTAGATTTTTTGTTTCTCTCTGATCTCAAAAAGTGCATAGATATAAAAACAAAAACAATATTTCAGTCGATTACAGTCTAATGATTGATGTTTAATGATTAAAAAAATAAAGTTATTACCTCCTCTTATGGTGGTTGCAAGCCCACTAAAGTCAGAAAAATCTTTCGCTATAATAACATTTTCTTCTTTACCAGCTATGTTTTTTAATTGCTTCCTATCGAGCCAGTGTCCAACACCAATTGAAAATATATCAACGTAGTGAAAACCAGTTCTTAAATTTGTAGCTGTGTCATATGGACTTCCTCCATAGTTCCAACCACCATCTGTAAGCAAAACAGCCACTGTGTTTACATTATGACGTTTAAATTTTTTTTCATTTGCACTATCGAGTAAAGCTTTTGCTTTTTGCAACGCGCCATTAATGTTTGTCCATCCTTCTTTACGATGCTTTACACGCTTAAATTCTTCGTTAAATGTACATTTATTTTTATCTAAATATCCATAATCTATGTAGTCTATATCTTTGTTAATATCTCTACCAAAAGTGACCACAGCTATACGAGCTGCAGATGGTTGAACACTAATTTTACTGAGCAGTGAAGAAACAAACTCTCTCTCTGTATTGAATCCATCGTCGCTAATACTACCAGACACGTCAATTAAAAAAATTATATCAGCTTTACTGTTATTATATTGTTGCTGAAATTGATTTAATCGTTGCACTCTCCAATCACGAGTGGAATGCGTGAGTTCAAATATGCATACAAAAATTATTACAAAATTAAAAAACGTGTCCATCTTAAGACGGTTTTCCTACATTTTAGACAAAAAAATTATGAAATTCTATAAGAATGCAAGATTGTGTGCACACGTGTGCAGGTGTATTGATGGCCTTGCAAACGTTTTGATGACGTATTTAGAAAAAAACATTTTTTTAAAATCATTTTTTCTTTACAAAAATTTTTCGCAGTTATCTTATTATAGACTATACATAGCATGAAGCTTAAGTAAAGAAACAAAAAAAGTTACATCATTTATATTAATTATATGTGTACAATTTGAAACATATTTATAAATCAAACTAGATTACATAATAAAAAAAGATTCGTAGATAACTTGCCATTTTTGTCTATGGTCGAAAATTTTTTTTTAATTTTAAAGCCTAAATATTTTTTTTAGCCAAGTTTCCTTAATATAAAAATTAAAAAAAGGAAAAGGTTTTTTATTTCAGAACGCACTTATAAGGTAATCAAGACACCGGGGCAAAGTGAGACATTTCGGCTTTCTAGCTTTGTACAGAATTTTTTTGTTGTGATAAAGTTTTTTTTTTTTAATTTTATATTATTTTCATGTTTGAATGAAGTTTTCAACGTAATGAAAATTTTTTTGTTGTGATAAAGTTTTCAAAATAATGTAGGAGTATCCTACACTATTTATATAAACTCTTTTTAATAAAAAAAAAACATATGATAAAACTTTACGCTGGATGCAGAGTATTTATAAAGTATGTCACTCAAAGTTAAACTTTTTAGGTTGAATCAAACTATAATTCGCAAAATAACTAACTTTACCTTAATGGATACCATTTGCACAGAAAAGAGGCAGCCGAGGATAGGGTGTGGCAATGTAAATTAAATCTACTATTCCTGCTGTATTAATTAGTATAAAAAAACTAAACAAATCTAATATTTAACTCTAAAAAAAACTAAACTACTCTAATCTAACTTTGGTGAATTATCAAGTTCAGTTATGAAAAATTCCTCCTAGGTTGTATCTATCGACCTCAAGATAATAATGATAATACCCTCATGAAAATAATTTCTTTAATCAAAGCCGTAAAATACAATTTCTCGAAACTGCGGCTGCGGATTCTTACTCTTATACAGTGTTTTTAACTTTAGCCATACAACATATGATGAAATTGCAGCTTATGATACTACACTAATTGTAGCACATATCAACAAAGAATGGTCTAATGATACCAAGTTTCAACAATGTTTAGGTGAGCATTTTTTTACTCAAATGGTAACATTTCCATCTTATCGTAACTCAAGATACAAACCACCAGGTAATATTTTTGACCTTGTCATTACCAATAAATCAAACCGAGTTAGAGTCCTCATAAAAGATTATCTAAATAGATACACACCTAAGGGTAAAGCTCATTTCCGAATCACTAGATATTTCGAAACTATGAACTTTAAAGTACCAGCTAATTTTCAATCACGTTATATTTGAAGCAAAGCAAACTATCAAAAAATATCAAAATATATCATGGATTACGATTGCGACAAAAACTTTACTAATCATTCGGCAAACTTTAATTACCAACTACTTGTAAATAAATATATGGAAAATGTGTGAAAATATATTCGAGTGACTTCTGTTTCATTTAAAAAAAAAACAACAACCTTGGACTACAGCTGAAGTTAAAGAAGCGGTTTTTCATAAACGTAATCTCTGGAGGCAATATGTCGCTTCTGAAACTAAAACACATGAAACACTCAGGAATAAGCATAAAACAGCCTGTAAACATGTTTCAGAAGTAATAAAAATAGCTATTCAAAGATTCAAACATTACTTGTATTTTCAAAAATGACCCAAAGAAACTTTATGATCGTATCAAACAAAAAGAAGAAACTAGTAACTTACTTCAAACTCTCGAAGATGACAATAAAAACATTGTTACCGATGGTGCTAAAATTTCAGATCTTCTTTTTTTTTTTTTTTTTGATATATATTTCGTCATCTTCATAATAAATTATATACAATTTTTTTCCAAGTGAAAATGTGACGGGAGCAGGCTGAAGCCAAAAGTCTTATCATCCAGCCTCGTTGTATCATTTGCATATTAAAGAAAAATTAATCATTTAAAAAAAAATTGACGATCTTAGTAAAATAATATTAAATACTTTTAAATAAAAAGTTTTACAATTTTTTTTTTTTTTTTGAATACAATACAACTTAAGATAAAAAAATAAATAAAATTTAAACATAAGTAATGATGTAAAGGGTGATGTTTTTTAACAAAAGGAAAAGATAAAAAATAAAAGAGAATAAAATAAAAATTAAAAAGATAATATAGATATTTGAGATACGCCATAATCAAGTAACTGTTTTTTTAAGATACTTTTAAAAGTTTGAATTGAAGTTGTAGTTTTACTATTAATTGGGAGGAATAAGTTCCACAAATGAGGCCCTTGGTAAGTTATTGAGAATTCGGATCGTTTCAGCAGTTTTTGGTACCTAATAATTAAACAACGAACCCTTTGTTTGATATTTATGATCTATCATAAAGAAAAGGTCTTAAAAAATATTAGGCAGCATATGATATTTTAATTTAAACATGAGTAAAATAATATTGTAAATATTTAATTGTAAATATTCAGCAATCCAAGCTTTCTAAGCATTGGATTGGCACTGGTATATTTATAAGCATTTAATATAAGGCGGCTGGCTAGTTTTTATTTTTTTAAGATACACGTTAGTCTTTACAAATAAGTGCTCACCCATGCAATGTTAAAATAACTAATATAGTTATCAATAAATGAAAGTTAAATAGATTTTAAACAGTTTCTTTCCAACATATACCTATTTTTATACATAATTCCAATACTTTTTGAAAGGAGTATGTCCTACTTTTATATCTTTTGATCCATATCCATACCAAGATGATCGTCTTTAGATTTTTACACCAACGAATCGTTAATGTCTTAAGGATTATCTATCAAAAAATTTAAGCCCGATCATCTTGGGGTCATAGCTATCTACTAATTTATATATATATATATATATATATATATATATATATATATATATATATATATATATATATATATATATATATATATATATATATATATATATATGTATAATTTTTTTTTCTTTTCGAGTTCAAAATTACTTTTAAATTGTAAAGTGTAGTTCAGGGGCGGATCCAGGATTTTTCGGTATTTGAGTTAAATAACTTACAGGTAAGTTCTAAACTCCGAGTTTAATTTTACAACACCCTCGTTTTGAGGGGGCTCTAAACTTTAAATGGCTATAACTTTTGAACGCTAGATGATTTTTTGATCAAATTTTAATTATAGATACACATTTGAATTTTATTAAAGAAAGTAACTTTTTTTTTTCAAAAAATCATTTCCCCTCTCATTTGGTCGGGTGATGACTACTATATAGGGTACTTTTGTTCCCAGGCTCTAATCAACGCAATTTTCGGCATAACATTCTTAAATGACATAAGTATGAGCATAAAAAAGTTTGGAGTTCAAAACTTACCAGAAAGTTATTCAACTTAAGTACCAAAAAATCCTGGATCCGCCCCCTGTAGTTTTAAATTCTTTTATAACATCCTTGAGCGTAAATATGTTTTGCAAAAAAATAAAAAGAAAAATGGGCCAAAAATGTATGTTAGTTGGACATGCTCCTTTTATTTTCTATAAGATTATTATGCTCATTCCAACTCATTTGATCGTCGATTAAAACGCCTAAGAATTAAACACAGAATGTCCGTTGCAACTTGATTTTTCTATTGAAATATCCCGGAGTTTTAAGGGCAACGTATCAGATTTAGAAAATTTAGAAAAGAGAGTATATTTGCTTTTGTTAGGGTTCAGAGAAAGTTGGCTTTAAACCATTCATTAAGGTTATCAAGTTCACAATTCATAGTGGTAAAGATTGTCTTAATGTTAGAGTGATTATAAAAGACTTGAGCGTCGTCAGCAAAAAGATTGAAGCTTAGTATACAAGATGATAAGTAAAGTCGTTGATATAAATAATAAACATTAAAGGCTCTAGAATAGATCCCTGTGGGATCTATTCTAGAGCCTTTAATGTTTATTATTAGAACTCCGCAGGTAATGTTTTCTAATTTAGTGTAGGTTTTGTTATAAGTAACACATTGATTGCGATTTTTAAGATAAGCAACAAAACCATTTAAAATTATTATTTTTGACTCCATAACTTATAAATTTGTAAAAAAAAATATCATGGCCTACAGTATCAAAGGCCTTTGAGAGAATAATAAACACTCCAAGAGTATATTAGTTGTTTTCAAACCCATTTAATATTTCTTTAACTAATTTAATTATTGCATGTTTTGCGGAGTACGCTTTTCTAAATCCGTACTGATTGTTATTTAGAACTTTGTGAGTTGTGAGATATTGGTAAAGCCTATTATGCATTATTAGTTCTAGAATTTAAAAAAATGGGGAGTATTGAGTAATAGAATTTAAAAAAATGGGGAGCATTATTAGTAATAGAATTTAAAAAAACATGGGAGTATTGAAATAGGTATGTAATTAGATAATTTTGAGATATCACCATCTTTAAATATTGGAACCACTCTACTAACTTCAAAAAGTCAGGAAAAACTCCATTTTTAAATGAAAGATTCTAAACAATTACTTTCATTCTGTATTCACTACTGAAAAACTAGATTTTGAATCACGTACAAATGTATCTTGCACTATAGACTTAAATCTCCTATCAGCGAATTTAGTTCAAGAAAGACTAAAAAGGCTCATTGAAACCAAGTTTAAAGTATATAACAACATACACCCACGAGTATTACGCAACTGCGCCTCAGCATTAGCCATGATCTACTGAAAATCAATTTAAAATTCACAGGTTCCAGAGCTCTGGCAAAAGATCAAATATCACTCCAATTTTTAAACAAGACAGCAAGCAGAACCGAGCCAATTATCGATCAGTCTCACTAATATGGGTACACTGCAAAATTATAGAAAGTATTATACACAAAAAAATCCAAAGAACAGCACGGATTTCTTTATAGCAAAGGATCCTCAT